AAGAGGAGGAGGCTGAGTGCAGTAGGACTTAAGAGGTCGTGGTTTACCCGACGTCCACCACGCCTTCGCATCTAAGTGGATGTTAGTTTTGCCACACCACTCTTTGTCAATACGTTCTGCGGTGGCAGTGTAGGCAATTGAGTTGACCTCTAGAGTCGATGTTGCTTCTATTGGCTTGAATATTGTCTATTAGTTGCAGCACCGTAACTACGGCGTCTCTTTTGCTCGTGAGATTCTCCGAGAAAGTGTTGAAGGTCAACAACAAATTCTTCCTGGAGAGCTCCGCTCGCAAATTTCTGACAATGGTAATCAGTTAATTGCTGGGAAAGTTGAGCAATTCTTCCTCTTCTCTAAGGGGGGGGGCTAAAATGGAGCTTCCTCTGCAGGTGGATTGTGCTGTATGGATTCAACCGGTACTGTGATACCTGCAAGGTCCCTCAGCCCCTCAGTCGCTGTTTTAATGCAGGCGCGTCGTGAGACATCCTCTTGACGCGAAGGGGCAGGGGAAGCGGTGTTTGGATGGAGGCCGGGGGAAGAGGGGCAGGGGGGGTAAACGCAGCGGCTGCCGTGAATCACGTGTTTTCGCCGTGACCACGACGTAAATAAGACGTCAAAAACCCCTCTCACTATCACTCTCCCGCAGGCACAAAGAGAATCGAAAAATATATCGAAGGGCAGTGCTAGCAGTCTTTTTTATCTCCGCGGGGTGAGGATGCCGCGAATTCGCCCCGAGGCTGCGCGCCTGCATAGAAAACGGGGCACAAGGGAAGGAAAGAGCGGCCACTCCTCCTCCTCCCTTTTATTTTATTATGTTTGTTTTATTTTGTTTTAAACATTCTTTTTAAATGTGTTTTATTATTCCACACCTAAATGTAAGGAACCAATATACATAAAAGAATTGGCAGAAAAAGTGAACGAGGAAGAATCACGTGTTTTATCTTTTAATTAATTCACTATTTATTATTTTAGTTCTTTTGTGATTCTTTTATTTATTTTATTAATTTTAATTTTCTAATGGTGTATTTAAAAACATTAAATTAATAACTTGAGAGATTCAGTTCCTCAACTACTCTTTCGCGCCACCGAGCCAAAAAGAAACAGGAGAGGCGAGAATAAGGGGATTGCTCTTTGAGTCACGGAAGGAACCAGACGTTTGTGAGGAACCCCGGAATGGGCCTCCTCGACAGTTAAGTGGTCGTGAGAATCATCTATTTAGGTATCAGGAGACATTTGTGATTTTTAGTAAAGCTCAAGTGATTTTATAAGACTGGTGCCTCTGTCAAGTATTTTAATGTGTCCTTGCGTTTACGTAATTTTATTTTTATTTTTTTTCTTGTTTTACGTTTGTTTTGTGTTTTACTTTTGTGTTTTAGTGTGTTTTACGTTTGTGTTTTAGTGTGTTTTACGTTTGTGTTTTAGTGTGTTTTACGTTTGTGTTTCCGTTCAAGTTCATTTTTAAAGTTTTATGTCCGTGTTTGTTCTAGTTTTACCTTAGTGTTTTATGTTCATGATCGTCTATTTTATGTTCAACTCCGTCTTAGTTTTGTGTGTTCTTAATGTTCTCATGGTTTTGTTTTAATAAATCAATGACTGTTTAGAAGTACCCCCTCGCAGTACTGTAATCGATGAGTAAGAGTCAAGGATTGTGAAAGGAAGGAATGACCAGACTCGTCTCATAATACGTATGAGCATCGCGGGACCAATCTGCGCCCGGGAGATCTTCCCCCGCACACGTCTCCTCTCGGCTTAAAGAACACGTCTACCGTACTCTCGCACACTACATGTACACACCTTTCTCTCTCTCTCTCACACACACACACATACACTCCCTATCTTTCCGTTCCTCACACTCTTCCTTTACACTATCACCTCACAACCATTACACTAACGTTCCCATATGTAAATTAACTGGTGTGGCAGTGAGCTATTTTCCTATCTTTCTTTCTTATTATATTCGAGTAGGGAGGGGTAAGTGGGGTGTGGTCTTTCTAAGGAAAGCCGGACGGTGTCAATTCACCATGGGGGTTTTAGCCTGGCCCTGGATCTTCCGGAAGTAGTTTGTCCAAGTAAAAGAGGGGGTAAGAAAATATAGAAAGAAAATAGCGAAGATAGAAAAAAAGTAAAATAAAACAGGGGAGTAGATTACTTGGCGATGTTCGAATATCTTGGAGGCCTTGAAAACGAGCGAATGGCTGGTTCGCGGCGCGGGCTGGGAAGAAGAGAGAGGAGAATGCCAGCCAGGTATGCTAGGACGTCGGTTTTAGATGAGCAAAGTACAGAATTACTCAGTATTCAGGTAATATGTCAGGTCTGGAATAACATATGCTAGTGCTCCATGCAATCATGCACAAGCATGCTTAATAACAAAGCCAAATAGGGCCTATGGCAGCAGCTATTCTCAACTTTGTGAAGAGCTCCTTGTAAAGCTCTGATAGCTCCTTGTACCATCTCTCTCTCCCTTTCCTTCACCTTCTCCGTTTACATTTCCCTCTCCTTCTCGCTCTCCCTCATCTCTCTCTCTCTCTCTCTCTCTCTCTCTCTCTCTCTCTCTCTCTCTCTCTCTCTCTCTCTCTCCTCTCTCCTCTCTCCTCTCTTTCCTTTCCTTCACCTTCTCCTTTACATTCCTTCTCCTTCTCCTTCTTCTCTTCTTCTCTCTCTCTCTCTCTCTCTCTCTCTCTGTCTCTCTCTCATCTGTCTCTTCCTCTTCTTTCTCTTTCCTTCCCTTTTCCTCACCTTCTCTTTTTACTCTCCTCTTCTTCTTCTTCTCATCTCTCTCTTCTTCCTCTTCTCTCCTCCTCTCTCTCCTCTCTCTCTCTCGCTCTCTCTTTCCTCCTCTCTCTCTCTCCCTTCTCTGTCTTCTCTCTCTCTCTCTCTCCTTTCTTCACTTCTCCTTTTACATTTCCTCCTTTCTTCTCGCTCTCTCTCATCTCTCTCTCTCTCTCTCCCTCATCTCTCTCTCTCTCTCATCTCTCCCTCTCCTCATCTCTCCTCTCCCTCCCTCCTCTCTCTCTCCCTCTCCCTAATCTCTTCTCTCCCTCTCCTTCACCTCTCTCTCTCCCTCTCTTTCTTCTCTCGCTCTCCCTAATCTCTCTCTCCCTCTCCTGTCTCCCTCATCTCTCTCTCCCTCTCTCTCTCTCTCTCTCTTCTCTCTCCTCTCTTCTCCTTTCCCTCTCCCTCATCTCCCTCCTCTTCTCCCTCTCTCTCTCTCTTCCTCTCCTCTCTCTCTCTCTCTTCTTCTCTCTCTCCCTCTCTCTTCTCTCTCTCTCTCTCTTTCCTTCTTCTCCTTCTCCAACTCCATCTCCCTTCCTTCACTTTCTCCTTTTAATTTCCCTCTCCTTCTTCTCGCTCTCCCTCATCTCTTTTTCTCTCTCTATTTATCTATTTATCTCTCTCTCTATCTCTCTCTATCACTCTCTATCACTCACTCGCTCTCACTCTCTCCCTTCCTCTTTCTCTTCGCTCTCCCTTCCTTTCTCTCTTCTCTCTTCTCTCTCCCTTTCTTCTCTTTTCCTTCTCTCTCCCTTCCTCTCTTTCTCTCTCTCTCTCCCTTTCCCTTTCTCCCTTATACCATACATATAGTTGAACTAACGAGGGTTGATTATAAAAAAAGTGAAGATGGAAAAAATATCGAAAAAACAGCTTTATTTGAAATAAACGATTTGTTGGTAGGGATTAGTTTGGCGGTTGCAAACTTGATATTGATATTGATTAGGTATCTTAATATCACAAATAAAAAATTGGCAGTAAAAAGACGAGCTCACCTTTGATTATATTTCAAAGAATAAATATGAGTGGAAAGATACTCCTATGAAAAATATGAGACATTCCAGTTTAGGTTTGTAGCTAGCCAGTAAAATATGTCTACTCAGTAATCCTATGAATACTAGATTTACACTCTGTTCCCAGCGGTCACGGCAACCACGCTTCATTTACACAAAACGGAAAGGACGTGATACAACACGGGAAAACGGGATTGGCAAACGTGACAGTTCCGATTTTTGAAATTTCCAAAAATATGTCACGGCATTCACAATGCAGCTAAGAAATTTAATAGACTAGTATAACAGGATGAACGCAACAAAACGTAACAGCACGTAATAGGCCTTATCAAACCTTGGAAGTGGTCCGTAGTGTGATAGGAAGCATGGAAATTCCCATGCATCTTACAGTCCCTTCGAGTTTTGTTACGTTCTGTCTCATTTTGTCAAGTTTTGTAATGGTTCTCGCGTCAAGCTAGTACCGGCGGGTCCAGGCGTTTGACGATTAGCGGTCACGGCGCGGTACGGCGCGTTGCGTTTTACGACGGTATGCATACACCCACCACTCAAGGTCTTGGAGAGAGGTAAAAAGCCACGCCCGACAAGGTTAAGCTATGCTACCGAAAAGGTCAAAACGCAAGAGGGTCTTCCAGCCTGCATCACCATCACCATTAGTGGGGTAAATCCCGGGGCAGCCTGATGATCCACTGCTGCCATATGCAACTGCGAACCCTTTCCTGGAGCTGGTGCCCGACGAAGCATCTGCTAGAAGAGCTCCCAGGGTCCTCACCAGCTTTCAAATAGAGGACTTCTTTTTGGCCACAAATGTGCTCCAAAGCTGCCCGACGTCCACGTTTCAAACGTAGAAAATCTTGACAAAACGGGAGAAATATGTTAGACCCTTCCTCAGAACGTGAAAAATGTGACGGACCCGATCAGAACGTGTCGGGCCTGGATGGAACGTGGTTCTATTCGTGGTAGTCCACAGACCAAAACGTAGTGCGCCTTTGATCCTCCGGGAGCAGTCCCCCTCTTCCCACGGCTTGTCGCGGGTACCGCGATAGAACGTGAGAAAACACAGAAAGACTTGACACTTAATATGGAAGAAAAAATGGCCAAAATCCTACGGCGCACTACGGTTCGAGCCATGGAACATAGTGTAAACCTAGCATGAGCAGTTAGTACCTATATAAGGTTACATTTTTTTCTCCTAGAAATGATTATTTATGCCTATAGCCATACCCTCTTGATGAGAATTGTGATGCCATGGTACTTGAACGGTTTTGAAAAATCGATGGCCTGAGATCTCTCGGGGTTGATGGTCAAGGGCGCCAGCACCAAATCCACACCTTCAACCCCTCGCGTCAGCTTTCCGATTAGGCCCGACCATTCCTTCTTTCCTGCAACGATTAAATTGCATTTGAACCCTATATCACAATGCCAACCAATGGATTACCGTACCAGTACAACCATATGAAAAACATCAATATGAATACAAGTGTATATATATAATATATATTATATATATATATATATATAATATATATATATATAAGTT